AAATCTACTAGTTTATGTTTTATTTATCCAATTAAAAATATTACTATATTGAGAACAGCTTTGTTTATTCCACTTATACAGGTTCTAGATGATTAATATGAACTTTTGTAATTGATAATAAAAATAAGAGACTTCTCATTTAAAATTATTGTGTAATACAGATTAGTTAGTTGACATATCATTTTTAATATTGAGATTACATCTTCAACTCCTATTAACTTATAAAAAAAGAAATTAGGATGTAAAATGAAATCTATTTATGAGTTTAGAATAATGATTTATTTCTTTAGGATAATTAAAAAATTTATTACAAATTCTTAAGGCATTGAAGAATGATTCATTTAATAATAACCAAATGTTAAACTTAAATTGATAATTATTGATTCGTTCCAATATTTAAAACTTATCATTCCAGAAATTGTCTGATCTAAAATTCGTTTGACTTTTTATCCCATGTGATCAAATATTGTCCGTCATCAGTCATACATCCATATATATCTCTAGTTCCAAATTAAATAGACTACTCTACTATAAACTCACCATTTTATTTCTTCCTTATTAAACTCACATCTTAAGCATTCTTATTTACAAGGATACATTTTGATTAAATATATTATGAAGGAAATAAAAAATCATCTGAACCACCTTTTACTTGAATATCCTTTGTCTTTATATACTATTAATTAGCATTATTAATCTCAAAAACATGTATACACTCATACCAAGAAGGATAGAATGTGAATGTATTATTATCTATAAAGCATAATCGGACTCCAAATGTTTCTACTGTAATCTTTTAAATTACAATCCATTATGTATTCTATTATTCCATTACCAATATAAGTTTATCCTCTCCACAAGATATCACTCTATTTTATTATTCATTTTAACTTAATCCCCATATAATATTAGTATGATCTGTAATTGTCTATGAACACAACCATTCATTCTACTTTTACCAGAATTTAATTGTCTTATCATAACTACCAGATACGATAAGATCTTCATTATTATTTATTATTAAACATCTGATAAAACCCTTATGTCCATTTAATTTCTATGAACAAATCCATGAATTATTTTGATTTCTTGTCCAAATAATAATCTATTTATCAAGACTCCCAGATATAAACTGATCCGATCTCTTCATGAAATTCAAAGTAACAACAGTACTCCCATGTTCACTTAAAAGTTAAACTTAATTCAACATTCCTTATTAAAATTCAAACACTTTAATTTATTTATTACATCCAGCAACCACTATTGAACAATCTTTATTAACTGCAATTGCTATACAATATTAATCTTATTTAATTTAATTTTGTTAAATTAATTAATAAGTGAATGGTTTAAGATTTGATTGATTAGATATAAATGTTGATGATTGTTAAATAGTTTATGAATTATTATTAAGTTATTAAATTTGATAATCCTTTTCTTAAATTTAGTCTTGCCATTTAGTTTGAGCTTCTTTATATAAATATTGATATTATTATTCATTCTTTTAAAGTACTTTTTGAATATTACTTTTGATTAAAGAAGTCACTTCTTAATTGATTTACTTTTGAAAATCATCATTTTTAAATTTAAGTAAACTATTAGAATTGACTTTTGGTAATTCTAATAATAATTAGGATGGCTATATCTAAATCAAATTAAACTTATCATTAAGAATTTCATCAAGTTATGTATCAATTCTATTGAATGAAGACTATTTATATTAATTAAATATTTATTTTACATCTAATGCTTATTCAAAATTCTAAATGATTTCATCTGTTTTCATTTTGTATTCTTATTTAATTTAATCAACTTTTTATTTCATTTTTTGATAATTCTTTTTTATTAATAATTATATTTATATATAATTTTTTATAATGCAAATTCCAACAATTATTTTGAAAATTTTGAAATTCCAAATCAAAATACCAAAATTAATGACTTATTCTCGAACCTTTTT